GGCGGGCGGGCGGGCGGGCGGGCGAGAAGCAAAAGAGGCGTGGAGTAGGCGGAAAATAAGAAAGGGCGAGCACGCGTGTGCCTATTTATACAGGCGTACGCAGCCCGCACGGCTTCCCAGGCCTTTGACACGGACTAATCCGTGCGCCCGAATTTGTGTGCGTGCGCCTCCGGCTTCGGGGCTCTTCTCTAACGAGCCGCTCTCTTCCACAGAAAGATCCGCGAGCTTAATTAATAAACGTATATTTCTTGGCTCTTTTTTTCTTCTTCATCTTCTTTTACCTTTTTTCTCTTATTCTTTTTTTCTCTTTTTTATTTTTGCAACGTCGGGCTTCCGCGCCCACCGAGCTTCGATTTCGCTCGAAATTAGCGCGTCCGAACTTGTCTGCGCATAGCTTGATGGTCGGGAGAGGGGTCGTTGGGGGAGGGGGCTTCCGTGCGAGCCGTAAATTTACGAGAATAATCATTATTGGCCCTGTTTCGAGCAATTATTGGTGCTTTTCATTTCCCACGAAAAGTATGCTATAAGCGAGAGGTAGCGAGCTACCGCACAATTTCTCGTACTCTCGTAAACATAATATTAGTCTCCATGAAATAGTAATTTAATTTTTAACCAACTTTGACTGCAATAATGGTCAAAGTTTAATAGCCTCCGGGGATTCGTTGAAAAACTTTTGGATATTTATACGCGCCTCTGGTATGGCGCTTCATTCCGTCCATCCCCACCCCTCACCGGCCGCCATTGTAAGGTTTATCGATGTAATTGCCATTGTTTGCTCCATTTTATGTTATACGACGCTCCGATAATTAATTATTTAAGTCTTAGGGTACGTGATGCTAGTTACCGATGTGCCACAACTCAAGTCCAAACGGATTGCGTAATCGAGACAAATGCAAGTGCCCGATTCATTATAGATAAAGCGTACAATCAATTAAATAATAAAGGCCAGTGGACGGGGCGCGGCCCTACTTGGTCAAATGTTGGCCGACGTAGCTGGAAGAATGGGCGAAAGTAGTCGAGATGGGCTATTTAGCCGTATCGAGGGTGGAAAATAGCGCGGCTTTAACTTTTCCAGCGACTTATCCTTATCCGAAGCTCCGGCGTTGAAAAGTATCCCATGCTTCCCCCTCCGACCCGCAAGAGTCGTTAACTCGGTGGAAAGATCGCGCCACGGCAAGGGAGGCCGGGCCCCGCGAGTTAACGACAGAGGATAATAATCCGAAGCCTTAAAGAGACGGAGCCCGGTCGATCCACGGTGAAGCCATCTTGCGGCTTGGATTATTTTTGAGGGTGGGAAGGCGTGGAAAGGGCGGCTGGAGAGGCTCCGGGCGAGGGACTGATTAAGCGGGCGTCGCGCTCGGCCGGGCGCATTAGCGAGATTTATGGGGCATCGTTAAGAGATTACGGAGATTCCTATTCCGGCGTCACGACGAGCGACCCGCCGTCGATAGCATCTGCCTGTCCCACACCGGCACGCACGCATTATCGGGATATAATGCTCGGGCGACTGACTCTCTGGCCAGAGATCGAAGCATCGCCGCGCCGCGGCCGACCGGCATCCGCCGAGCATCCGCCCGGCATCCGCTCGGGGGCTACGCTCGAGTACCGACGACGGCGGCGAGCTTTTCTCCTTTCCTCCTCATCCTCTAATCCCCCCCCCCAACCATCATTGCCACTACTCGTGCCCCTCTGCCTCCCGTTGCGCCGCGTGGTCGCGTCGAGACCGCACGCACGTGGAGCGCCTCGTTAAATGCTCGCTCGAGGACGTGCACGCGCTGACCCATTTTTATCGAGAGCGGCCATGTCGTTCTGCGCAAAAGCAGTCGGCTTTTCCGAGCCCGCATCGACCGCTCGCTCGAGCATTTCCTCTTATTTTTTTCTCTCTCCTCTTTTTCGTCTTTCTTTTTTCTTTTTTCTTTTTTCATTTTTCAGCTATTTATCTCTTTTTTTGGCGCGGATGCTGGAGTCCTCCTCCCTTTCGGGCCCTCGAGTGGACTCGTCGTACGTCATTCATGTTTTCCGCGTCATCGCCGCGGCCCTTTCTCGACACTTTCCGACGACTGTCATTATCGAGTCATATTCGCCAGTGCCTAGCCCGAGAGGAAATCAAATCGTTAATCATTCGCGCGCCAGCCCCGCGCGTTTAGCACCCATCGAAAATTTATTACACCGATACGACGTTGAAATTGATCTTGCCACTTTGCTTCGATCTTCGATAATCTCAGCGCGCCTTATTAAGAGCGAACATACTCGATTAATGAAAATTGACACTTTTATACAGTTGAAATTGACATCGCACCTTTTATCCAATTGAACCCTACAAGGGTCCTTACAAGTGCAATAAATAAGTCCAGCGTTTATTTCTACGATACTTGAGTAAAGCAATAAATCATTCGTTCATATATTGTCTAAAGGTGAGCTGAAAAGTAATGCTTAAGATGAATAATATGACCTGCCGTCTAAAGTTGCCTAAATACATTTTCATTTTTACAAAATAAAGTATGAAAATAGCGTTCATCAAGTTAGTGATGCGTAAGTGAAAAATGTGAACAGCTTTGCAGGGGGATTACTCGTGTTTAACTTTGCTCTTTATTCGGTTCGGTAAAAGAGCATATTTTTGTTTTCTCTTCGACCAAAGTTTCCAAGTTTGGCGGGAAAGAGCCGTAAGAAAAATAGTTGCTCTGTTCGAGAAGAGATCGTTGCTGTCTTTGTTGGGTTGGGCGCGAAAAGTGTGCGAAAATGAAAATTTTCGCGGAGGAAAGTAATGCCGGTCGCGTATCACGCGCGCATTTCGGGACGTTTTATCGTCGACGACTCGGAGTTACATTTTTTTCTTCTTTTATTTCTTTTGCTGGCGTCAAGGCGCAAGAGCGTAAAGAAGAATACGGAGCGATATCGTGATCGTCGGGCATCCCGAGCTATCGGGGCGTTTGTGTCACCAAGCTAAGCGATTCTACTTTCTTGGAGTTGGAAAGGAAAAGGGGACGGGGTGTTGATTGGGTTAGTTTTGGTTGTTTGCGCTTGGCTGCCACTGAGCCCGGTGCACAAGGCAAACAAAAGGCGGAGACAAAGCCACGTTTTACACTCGCGCACACATAGACAGTTGCTCGTGAATGCATAAACGCACACGGACAAGCAGGCGGGCAAGCAAATACTGAGTATTGAGAAAGTCGAGGCAGG